GAGGCCGGGCCGGGCCCCGCATGGCCCAGCAAGGTGAGCAGGGGGTGGGCGGGGCGGACAAATTAAAAATACATATATATATGTATCGTTATTGTTTTGTTTAACGTGTCCCACAGTGTCCGTGGGGAGCGCCGAAGGCCGCGCCGATGTCGTGCTCCCTCGCGGATGTGATGAGCGAGCAGCTGGCCAAAGAGCTGCAGCTGGAAGAAGAAAGTGCCGCGTTCCCCGAAGCGGCTGCGTAAGTGCGGGTCCCGGGCCTGTGTGCAGCCCGCAGCTGAAGGCTGAGGGCTGCTCAAGTGCTCCCTGATGCACTCTGCTCTCAGCGCCGCTTTCCTGCCGCTCTTCAGGGCCTTGGGTTCTTTAAGTGAATCTGTAAGCTCTGCTTTGGGGAGACATTGACAAAAATGCGTTTTTATTTATTTTATTTTTTTTTTTTTTATTTTGGGAGGCTCCTAGTGGTAGTGTGCTCGTTTATTTTGCAAACTGCCCGTCTGTTGTTGTAGTGGTATAACACTATAGATAAAGTGGTGTTCATGTTTAAATTACTGTTCTGAGCTAAGTTTTTCTTTCAATTTCTTTTGCATTACACAGTGTTGCTGAAGGACCATTTATTACAGGAGAAAATATTGATACATCTAGTGACCTCATGCTAGCTCAGATGCTGCAGATGGAATTTGACAGGGAATATGACGCACAGCTTCGGCGGGAGGAGAAAAAGTTCAATGGAGATAGCAAAGGTACTCTTATAAAGGCGTGTCTTTGCTTTGGAGGCATTTTATGGCATTCGGTTTAAGCTGACAGAGCTATGAGGAAGCACTGAATCCCTGATAAATGCAAGCATGTATTTTTTGTTTTTGTTTTTTTTTTTTCAAGTTTCTATATCCTTTGAAAACTATCGGAAGGTGCATCCCTTTGACAGTGACAGCTCAGAGGATGAGGTTGATTGGCAAGATACCCGTCATGATCCCTATAGAGCAGGTATGTGGTAATCCTAAACAATACAGAAATGTCCTGTTACATATTTAACCTAAGAAAATGCCATACTTGGGTATCCTGACTGTGAGGAGACTGATGGTAAAGAGAACAGGTCACCTGGCTGTAAGGTGCAGTGCAGGAAGTTAGCCTGGTAACTTCAGATTTCTTCTTGTGTTCTGGCTTCAGTGAATGAATCTGAACTAATAATTATCATATATGAGCTGTATGGTGGGGTATGTATGTTTGCTACTGTATCCAGCTAGAGTCTGTATCGGGCATCTGCACATCATATGGAATATTACAGCTGTAAGGAGCCAAAAATTGACACCCCAGAGAAGGCAGAGTAGTCATGGTGTAGAGAAAGAAGTTGACACCTTTAGGATAAGAGAAGATAACGGTGTTAAGATCACACAACTGAAGTAGTCTTTTTTAATAAATAGTAACTCTACTCTTTTTTGAACCTTAGTTACATTCACTTAAATACAAATTTTGAGTTAGTTTTTCGCTACTGGCAGATAAACCTACTACAACTCCAAAGAAGGGCTTCATAGGAAAGGGAAAGGACATTACTACTAAGCACGATGAAGTAGTATGTGGAAGAAAGAACACTGCTCGCATGGAAAATGTAAGTGAAAACTTCAGAGAATTTGTTGTGTGTATTTGTGTATTATTTACATAGAAATATATCTTACAAAAATGCTTGGGATGCTGTAATTCAGCTAAAGAATTAGTGTTGGTGCTACTGTTTATTGCTTTTTTTTTTGGGGGGGGGGGGGGGGGGGGGGAGATTTTGTTTGTTTGTTTTTCCTTATGAAATGAAGGCAATATTATGCTTGGATTAGTAGGAATTTGGGTTGTGCATTTTCTGTTGTTTAGTATGTTGTCAATTGTTAACTGTTGTTAAGTATAATGTTAAATTTGTCAAGCTAATGAAAATACTCAAGAGCTTGCACAAAACTGTTCTGAGTAAAGAAAAGTTACCAGCAAGTTTGGAGCTTGCACAAAACTGTTCTGAGTAAAGTTACCAGCAAGTTTGATACTTACTCAAGTAACGCATCAAGATTATTCTTGCAAACCCCAGCCATCATGCAATCTAAATGTTTTGAATTTGTTTTACATGCTCACCTAAGCAACTTATTTTGACAGTTGTTTGATATACAGTTTTTCAATCTATTTATCCATCCTTTAAATTTGCCTTAATTTAATTGGTACAGCTGCAGGTGGTATTTTTACATTTATTTATTTGAGGGAGAATTTTGAGTTCTGAATTTAGAGAAATGTATCTTTAACCTCTGTGAAATCCACTTTGTGGAACACTGTCATTCAGGTCACCTACCTTATGTTTTTGCAGAACAGAGTAAGCAACTTCTATCTATGCATTTTTTTATGGGGGAGAGGGAAGGAGGGAAGGGGTGCCTGCTAGTAATAGTGCTTAAAATCCTGTTGTATCTGTTTGCAGTTTGCACCGGAATTCCAGGTCGGCGATGGAATTGGGATGGACTTAAAGCTGTCCAACCAAGTGTTCAATGCCTTAAAGCAGCACGCGTACTCTGAGGAGCGTCGAAGCGCCCGGCTCCATGAAAAGAAGGAGCACTCCACTGCTGTATGTTTCTAATTGCTTATTATGTCCTTTGTTTTGTGTGACAACTGAAGACTGGTCTGGTAGTCCTGACAGGAAGATGAAGTGACCAGTTGAATGCCACATCTGAAGTATATAAATGCTCTGAAACAATCCTTCTGCTTTACTTTAATGACCTTAATGAACGTGAATATTCGTTTCGCATTTGTAGGAGAAAGCAGTGGATCCTAAGACACGTTTGCTTCTGTACAAGATGGTCAATTCTGGGATGCTGGAGACCATTACAGGCTGCATCAGCACGGGAAAAGAATCTGTTGTTTTTCATGCGTACGGAGGAAAGTAGGTACACTATTTGTTACCAATATGAGTCTTAACTGGCTACATATATATACACATATATATAGGATATTAAAAGGGGAAACCACAGAGAATACTCTAAACATTCTGCCTTTTTTAATGTCTTTCCTGAAATTTGACATTTTATTAATGTACACGGTGATTTTTTTATTTTTTTTTTTCAGAATATGTTACTATTTTCTTCCCTGGAAGATATTTAATGAAAGGGGACAAATCCACTGCTGTAGAGAACCTTTCCTATATATACAAATCTCTTAAGCTTTTGGGAACTCTTTTGAGTGGCCTGTCTCAAGCCTAGGGAGCTGTCACAATGATCTCTGCTCACCTGAAGATGTCTTTCCATACAAATCACTGCTTTAATAGCTCCCACTTCTACCTGTGCAGTTCAGTGGAGGTGTTTTTTTGTTTGTTTTTTTTTTGGTGTTTTTTTTGCTTTTAGAGTAGCTCAAGAATAGCATTGGCATGCTGTTCCCTTTGGAAGTTCTGTCAGACTCCAGACTACGTAGAAATTGTGATTTACACCCTTTTTTAAAATACATGCGTACTAATTAAATTCAGTGCAGATAATCTGTTTAGGAATGTGAGAGAGCATAGTAGGAGTGTGAGAGAGTAGTAGGAATAAGATCTATATTTTTCTCGATCATATTTGAATGATTTTCAAGAGGATTCCACTGACTTATAACTCAACTGGCAGTATCTTTTGTGATGCTTAGCAAAAAGCATTGTGACTAGGGTTGTCATTCTAGTGCAATAATTTACTTCATTCGTGATGAACCTGAAATAATTATGTACATCCACAGAACTGGTGTTAGCTGTGATTCCTAAGTAAATTATCTAATAACTATTTGGTAAACCGCATATAATCAAAATTCCAAAAATCAAATGTTCAAGTTCTAAACATAATCATAGAACTCTTGCACATTTAACTTGAATCGGCTTTCATACTTAGTACAAAATGAGAGCTTTTCTTCTCCTACACTTAAAAATCACTGTATCTTACAATATTACAAGCAAACACAGGGCTTTGCATTAGGGATGTGAGTGAATCATTAACTTTGTTATATGTTTGACTCTTCCCATCAGAAGTACAAATGAAGAAGATAAAGTTATACCTCCAGAATGTGCTATAAAAGTTTTTAAAACAACTCTTAATGAATTCAAGAACCGTGACAAATATATTAAGGATGACTACAGATTTAAAGACCGCTTCAGTAAATTGAATCCACGTAAGATTATTCGTATGTGGGCTGAGAAGGAAATGCATAACTTGACAAGGTACAAAAACATGCAGTTATCAAACACTATCAGTTTCCTGTTCCCTGTTTATGGGGAACTCCACTCTAGGACTGGGTAGAAGTCTCTCTCTCTCTCTCTCTCTCTCTCTCTCTCTCTCTGTTTTTTTTTTTTTTTTTTGTAGGCTTGAAAAACCTAAGAGCTGACACACATGAGTAATGAGTTTAATGAGTAATAAATAACTTGAGATTTGGTAGCTCTTGAGTCCTTGATACTACCTAATTCTAGCTCTAAAGGCAGTTAGTTTTCAGACAGTTTTTTTATGACCACTTTAAGATTTAAATTATTCTATGTGAAATACCAAATAGATCTTTTGACTATTTTTGGTCAAATTGTTTAAATGATCAAAGTGTCAAAAGAGTCAACATTTTTTTGACTCTTTCGATCAGTTGACTCTCTTGACACTTGGACAAAAATTTGACTCTTTTGATCAAATTGCTCAATGGAACTCTTTGTCTTAAGATCGCAAAAGAGCAAGCAAGAACTAGAATGTGTATATGTGTCATCACATATGCATAAATACAAACATATATTTGTGTGTTATAAAAAAAAAAAAAAACATATTTTAAGTAATGTCTGTTTTCTGTTTACAGAATGCAAAATGCAGGAATTCCTTGTCCTCAAGTGGTTATCCTTAAGAAACATGTCTTGGTTATGTCTTTCATTGGCCAGGATCAAGCCCCAGCTCCTAAGCTAAAGGATGTAAAACTTAGTAGTGAAGATATGAAAAAGGCTTACTATCAGGTTCTTAATGTAAGACTTCTGAGTTTTGTTTTTGTTTTTTGGTGGGTTTTTTTCCCATATGGCTTGTATCTCCTCTTAGGCATGTAACCAAAAGGACAAATTGACATCTGTGTACTTTTTAGGTCACTTGCAACAATTTAAAGATACAGAGTCCACAGGATTATTTTACTGCTGTTTAAAGAGTGACTTAGAATAAACAAGAAAGTATGTAAGGAGTGGGAGGAATATGACACTTACTTCCCCTGTGATAAGGATGAGAATGATAGCTATTTTTAGAGAGCTGTCTGTCTGTCTAATGCACTTGCACTTATTGGCAGATATAGCACAAGTTTATTAGAGAGATTCTTCTGATTTACCAAGAGTAAGTTGAGTGATTAAAATCTGAAGTCTGCAGGGAGTTTACTTAAAACTGCTATTGCCCATGTGAAGCTTTAGTGGAGCCTTGGAAAAAAAAACGATACAAGGTGGGGTGAGGAAGTGGCCTATTTTGTTACGATCATGCAGACGATGTTGATGGGAACATACCTGTTTTGTTTTCTCCATCGACTTGGTTCCTTGCAGATGATGCAGCAGCTGTACAAAGAGTGCAACTTGGTCCACGCTGACCTGAGTGAATACAACATGCTTTGGCACGAGGGAAAGGTAGTGTATGCTTAGTGTGGGAAGCAAAGGTTGTACCTATTGTGAAACATTAATACAAAGGAGTTGTTATCCCTCCCTGACCATAGGTGTGGCTTATTGATGTCAGTCAGTCTGTGGAGCCAACTCATCCTCATGGGCTTGAGTTTTTGTTCAGAGACTGCAGGAACGTTTCCCAGGTAGGACATCTTCATCTGACAGCTGGCTCTTACACTGAATGTTTTCCAGGGTAAACAGCATCAGTTCAGTTCAAAGCGAATATAAAAATAAACCAATTCAACTTTTTATTTTTAAAATGATCATCACCACCTGTGTATGAGGTCAGTCTTGGAAATTTGTCCATATCGAGTGGTGTTCCACTAAGAGGAATGAACTATGGATGAGTAAAGTAATACTACTAACATTGAATACTTATTTCAATTTTTATCTTCTCTGTGGGTCAACAAACATGAAAACACACTAAAAAGTAATAATTGTAATTTGTGAAAGGAAAAGGAAAGCTAATGTGCACTAACAACACTGCTTAATGTATTCTTTTTATATTGAATAGTTCTTCCAGAAAGGAGGTGTGACAGAAGCACTTAATGAGCGTGAACTCTTCAATGCTGTCTCGAATTTAAATATTACAGCTGACAATGAAGTGGACTTCCAGGCAGAGGTATAACTTTCCTTGTGTTTAACACTTTAATTTGGTGAGCTATCAGCTATTGTAGTTCTTTAACTTTTCGATTTAGTTAGCATGTTTAGTGTTTATAAATCCAGCAACCATTCCCCATCTCTTTTTCAAAATCTCAAATTTAAATTTTGGTTATCTAGAAACTTAAACTTACTTCCTCTTGCACTCCAAGGGAGATAATCCAAACAAGAGTCTGAAGATCAAAATAAGCTCTAGAACATGATACTTTCATTGTGCAAAACATTCAAGTGCAACTGTTTTGCTTTCTCTGATAACTATGGCAATGTGTTTGTAATCTTAATTTTACTTGGAATTTCTCCAGTAGTGATGGATGACATCTGACAGGTGTTCAGAGTTGGAGAAAGGGCTTCTCTTGCACGTTGCGGGGTATAGTTGAAGATGAGAAAACATCCTGTCTTACCTGGAACTCATGCATTGAAGTTATATAGCATGAAGCTATAAAAGGAGTGCTGTTTGTCCTATAAAATCACACACACAAAAAAATGTGTTTCAAGCTGTACTTAAAAAAGCATGTTGCATCTACCTCAAAAGCATATTGCACCGTACGTTTGGCCGAGTCACTGAAACAAATATTTTATACATGGTCAGTCACTTAAGTCTACCTTTCAACAGTATTTGGAAAGGCCCCAGTGCAGGCATGGTATGATTTCAGAATGGCTCTGTGTTTTGGATCCCTAGATCGAAGCGCTGGAGAAGATGAACGAAGATCACGTGCAGAAACATGGAAAGAAGGTGTCTATGTTTCCAAGTGATGGGGACCCGCCTAGCTGTGGTGAATAGCACTGCGTGTAGCTGCTAAAGAAGAAACACACGTTTGCTGCTTCTAACTGTGTTGTGGTTAAAGTTGGCTACCACTGTCAAGAGAGAGTGGTGGACTTTGAATGCCAAAATGGAAAACACAGCAAGCATTTGGTGATGCATCAGTGTTTTTGTTTTTTTTTAAAATTAATTTAGCCCACAAGTGAGGCTGGCACTGTGAGAATAGAATGTCGCTGCCTCCGTGGATGTTCACCAGCTGTCCAGTTACGTATGTGACTAATGTAGCCGAGATGGTCATATTTTGCATGATTCGGAGCTTATGTGTGTGTTTTTTTTTTAATCTAGAGTGTCTAAAGTATCCATGGGAGAGCACCCTGGCAGATTCCCTTTTCTCTTTCCTATTGCTCCTGGAAAAGCTAGTTTAAAAAGTGTGTGTAGGCACAATGTCAGTTAAGCCTTTTGTCCTTCTCCCCCGAGAGCAAAATGCAAAGTGAAACTAGGGGCTGCCATCATACGGTGAAAATGATAATTTAACAACAATGTCTTTATATATGCAAAAATCTAGACTTTTTAATTTAAAGTAAATGGGAGTGTGGCACGAACTACCACTGTGAATGTAATAGGGTATTCTATGAGAAACAGGAATTTGAAACCAACCGGCAGCAGAGGATGCCTGTGGTGATACACCAGGAAATCCTGAGGGCTGTCACCTGGCTGTGGTGTCATTTTTAACACAGAGGTCTTTCTAAGGACTTGGCACAAGCCAAAAGTAATTCTCTCTATTTATTTTGTAGCCCACAGTGACATTCAGAGCAGAGCATCATTCTTTTTCACAGGGAAAGTAGTCCTAGGCTATGAGAACCAAGCCTGATCAGAATTATTAAAAAAAAAACCCTTTTTGCGTACAGGTGCACAAATCTCAAAATCATTTGTCTCTTTAATGCTTTTAATCTCCATGTCAGTGTTTATTTCTGAATGTTTGTGTGTAACACTTTAGTGATTTTATCAAACTCTAAAAATCTAGCAGAGTTTCTTTCCAACATGTTTAAAGATGAACTAATGTAGCACAATGGTTTGGGATTAAATTCCGATCACCTTCTTTCCAACTTCTTGGTTGCTCTTTCTGCTGCTGCTCTTTATCAAGCAGAATATAGTGGTGCTAGGTGTGACGTTCTCACAGTGTGCTGTGAAAGTAATTATTTTTTCTATTGGAAAACTGATGGCAAAGTAAAAAGATCTTGTGGGGTTTTTTTCTTCTTTTTTGCCTGGTTCTTTATAAAAGCAGTGCATTGGTCATTGTTCTCAACGCAACAAGGTGCTGTCAGGGTGTGACTTCATTGTAACATAAAGAATGATTCGCTATTTTCATAGCTACTTTAAATAACCTTCTGTGCCTTTCCTATCTGGGACACGGGTACTGTTTCATGTTTTTGAATTAGACAGTCATGTTGCCTTTTGCCGCTTACTCTCCTAAATAGAGGAAGTTAAATAGTTTTAAGAGACAAAACTTTTCCCTAATGTTTGGCTGAAACAGTTGCCAATACAGCTTAGCACAAGGGAAAGAACAGAAGAATACATACTTGTACAGGTGCTGTGGATTCTTGTTAAATATAATCAAAATCTTCTCAAACTGTCAAGATAATCTTTTTAAAAGAAAAGCATGGTCATATTCTAGCTCTATTTAAAGTTTGAATATTGTTATTGGTTTCTTAGGAGAAAAGGTTGTTTCCAAATCAGTTGCTAATGTCGTTGTTGGACAAAGAATTTGCTCTGTAGTAAATTGTGAAGAAGGGTGTTTTCATCAGAAATGAGAGGAATAAAAAAAAGAGCAGAAAAAAGGGGGGTGATGGTGGAGTAAATCTTCATTTGAGATAAAGTGGAAGTGTGCTACTTGAGTTGCTGCTCTGTGATCTTTTTTTTTCTCCTTTCTAAAATCTCTTTAGCACAGACTCAAAACAACCAAGAAATTCTGATCTCTACAGTGTTCTCTAGGCTTGTGATTTAAAGCCAGTGGGCCTGCATGTTTCTCTTGGCAAAATATTGTTGCCTAAACAACTGCTCACTTCCATCACTACAATTTCCTCAGGAATCCTTAGAGATTGTTTAAAATAGAAGTTGGGGGTGGGAAGCATCTAAAGCATTTGTTGCAACTCCTGTGAAGTAAAATATATCATTTTTTTAGGCAACTCGAATTTCTTAAATCTAGATTTTCATGGTCAAAATCCTAGACGTTGGTTTCATTAACTTTCGAGGTTATGACTCTTGTAAGGGTCAGTTTGAGGAAAGTTAAATGTCGCTTACTTGGTGGCTGGTTTCCCTCCCCCTCAATATTTTGCTATGTGCACATTCCACTTGTGGTACTAGATGAGGAAATACTGTCCTATGGGAAATAGTAGAAAGTTAAGCACTGGTATCACAGCTTAATTTTTGACTTCGAATTAAGTAAACCTAGCTAATACACAATATTTTCTAAAAAAAAAAAAAAATGTTAAGCTTAAGAGTGATGAGAACTCTCTGGATATAATGGTCCTCTCTAGTCAACATGTAATTATTTGATCAGGCAGAACAGGTTTGGCAGAACGAACAGCCTACTGCTTTGCTTGCTCTAATGTGAAATTATTGAGCTCGATCCAAGTGGCTCACAGGTCAGCAAGTTGTTTGCAAGATACTCTGTTAAAAAGAGGTCCTTACACTTGTATTTTTCCCCTACTAAATTGTATCACTGCTGTCTAATCTGAAGAGTTTGAGCGGTGTGATCAGCCCGGCGGTATTTTCCCTGGGAGCGTTGTGGTTCCCTTGCCTTCCCCCTCGTGCGTGCCCCAGGCAGCAGTAGGGACCCAGTGATGAGCTCGCAGTGTTTCTCCCCAGGGGGAAGGCCGTGATGAGCTCGCAGTGTTTCTCCCCAGGGGAAAGGCCGTTAGACAGCGCTCCCAGCAAGCACCCCCGCCGCCTGCCCGTCCAGACTGAGGCGCAAATAAGAAATAGGCTCGAAGAGTGAGAGGCAGTCTGGATTTTAGCGTTTATTAACTTTAGCATAAATAATGCTTTTTTAGTGGTCCCAAAATAAGCAGCGTTTAAAGTATAAAAATCTATGTTCTCTTTGTGATACGTTTTATAACTATAGCTGCTAAAATGCAGTTAAATGCTTGAACCGCAGCATCACTGCCATCAGCATTTTAGAAATTGCTAAGCAAAGCATAAGCAAATTAACATGAAGGCTGGGAAGCAGCTGGTTTTTTGCCCCCCCCCCTTCTTTTCTCTCTTTTTTCTTAAGAAGGCATTACACAAAACAGTGTTCAATTGCTGTGCGAACTAAAACTCTCTTCCTCTTCTAGGCTAACGCAGCACGTAGGTTTTCCTATACCCTAAGGTAAATAGCCCTTAGATAAACGCCTCTCTAAGGCAGGCGCTCCCCGAAAGCGAGGAGGTAACTCCAGTGCCGGTAGCGCGGCGGGGACCAGCGCCATT